GTGGTTAAGGCGATGCCCTGCTATCTCCGGAAAGCAAGGTTAGGCATTGTGTTCGCACGCGTAGGTTCGAATCCTGCAGGTGACGTTTCTTTTGCACTTTTTGGCAAACGAATCGGCCATGTGATTCTTTAGAACACATCCGCGATGTTATTTTTTGGTGGTTGAGAGAGATTCATTTGTTCATTAAGCATTACGTTTGTAGACCTAGACCGGTTCTTCCCGTTGGGCTTAATTATTGTAATTAGGAAGAAACATGGTCGTTCACTGGCTGTAACAATCAGTCGGTGTAAGTGAACCACAGTCAAGCGAACTGTTATTGATTCGTGTCTATGACAGGTGACAGGTGCACCGAGAACCAGGTAGCATTTCGGTGCGATCAGATCTGAAAATACCATAACCTGGATCAGTACGACTCTCACCCTAGCGATCAAAGAGACATAACAGGATCATTATGATGCCTGTGTATCTTGATATGATCGGCAGCACGGGCTTAATCACACTCGGATGCTGAGACAGCGCCTTATGGTGTCCCATCAGTCATTTACAGGCATCTTACGGTGTAACTTGAGAGAAAAAGTATCTCAGCTCTCACAGTTCGTTCGTAAATGATCAGAAGACCTGAGTGAGTCTGAGATGTCGGTTCATAACCAGTCACAATACTTCACAAATGATCCACCAAAAGCCAGCGTTTGATATTATTTCCCTCCTATTATGGAAATGCCCTCGTAGTCTCGGACCTAGCATGCCCTCGTCGGACGGACGAGATGGACGACCGAGCTGAATTTTTCCGACCAAGAGAGATTGTCGATGGTAGGGTTAACGGGTCTCAGACAAAACAAGGCGGTCTATGATTGATCAATGCATTCATTCAGTCGGTCAGTGGTCATTGAATGTTCTGTTTGGCCTAACTGCTTGGAATATTGTTGATAGATTACCGGTGTTTAAATCTCGTCAAATTTGTCTAGTATGAGATTTCACTTGATAAATAGCATCTGATCAAAGATCATAGATTGATAAGACGAAAGATCAAGGCTGAGCTTACGTGGGGGCATCCTTTAGGCCGTTTGCGGCGCCATAGTTTCAACTCCAGGCGAGCGGGACGATTCTCTCTAGCGAGAACCCGGCACTTGAGTGACTAACGGAATCTCTGCTGTGACCGCTCCCGGCTTGACTAGGTCTGTTTATGGCAGCTCACAAGAAATTGACCGATAGATTCAGAAACTGGCCGATGAGGAACTGACCGAGCAGGAATTCATGCCGAGATGAAGGGGACGTTTCCACTGAGAATGCGACCCTTGCTATCTCGATATGATTTGATACCCTGTAAATGTGCATTCGGAAGGCATTCTCCGGTCCCTGCTTTGGAAATATTCTAGAAGACCGACGGGATGCACATGAAATAAAGAACTTGCATGGCGTGACGCACGGCGAGATGTTCTTGTTCTAAGTCAACTAGCTTGACTCGTCATGTCTCGTCTGCGCCTCATTTTCAACGTCATGTCCTGTCCTAGCTAAATTAGTTTATTAGACAAGCATAAAAACTCTAAATACGCATCAACCAAGATTACAAAGAATGGTGGAGACTGTATCCGAGTGGGATATCGAACAAGAGACCAGAGTGACATTCATTCTCTTATCCCAGCATTCGTCAAAAGATCCACTGAGAGATCCTTAACAGTGAGAGATTATTCAGTTCCTTGGTTTGGTTTGGCTGGGCTGGTGATGTCCCGTGAAACAGACGGAGGATCACCCGGATGCTAGATACTCTATGCGTAACAGGGGATTGCCTCATATGGTCCACGGATCCTTATGTGAGCATTAGTGATCCAAGACAAACTCTGCTAGTTTTGCGATCCTCCCTCCCTGGGTCTGCCCTGATTGTTTGGTTTCTTCTAAGCTTAAACTATCTAAAGTTATCGTCGAACAAAACATTTCAGGTTTAACCGCCCAAGGGGGCTGAATGACTCGTTGCTTTGTTAATGCCAACCACTAGAGAAACATACTCATGAATTGAACCTGTCACAACTTTACTGTACAGTCAGTCAATGCCCGATCTAGTAACCGTCTTCCGCGTTTTAAACTTCGGCGCTGTTGAACTATGCGATCGGGGTGTGAATGACATGAATTGCAGGGATCATCATGCCAAGAAACATGCTGTATCACTCCCAACATAGCCCTCCACATTATATCCCCATCATCACCTCGAGAACGGATGAATTCTGAACCGGAGTATCGGGCCAAGTTGCCAAGGTTGTGAATGCGCGTATATGACGAGTAATGTAGTATTCTTGATACCATATAGCAATAACGGGTAACAAAGACCAAAGAGGAATGTAGTATAAACGTGAGGACCTTTGGTATCTTGTCACTATCACTATCACATACCTACAGTGTCCAAGTGCCCATACAAAAATCCTTTCACCTGTTACAGAAACGGATCAGATAGAGTAGAAGCTGCTACAGGCGTAATTTCGGTAGTGGACCCAAGACAGCGGCACTCCGATGCGTGGCTCATGGTCTGCCGTTGCATCGCATTACGTATCGATGTCATTGGTCTTGGTTAGTATCTCCATCTGTTAGGCTTTGCAAGGAGGCTTGACATGTCAGTCGCACTAACTGACTGACACAGACAGAGCAGAGCAGATGGGTTCATTGTTAATCAAGACAAGGCAAACACCCTTGACTTGACCATGACCATGACCATGACCTTGACCATGGAATACATGTTTCCGTAGTATTCGGTCTTGACATCAACTCTCATTCCTAAAGCTTAAAAGAGCCGCCTCGCCCTTCTGATCAACACTTCTTATTCCCCAGCCATATCCCACCTCAAGACACTCTTTACTACCCATCACACACTCATTCTCATCGCAATGCGCACTCAGATCCTTACCAGCGCCCTCCTCTCGGGGGCCATGGCTGCTCGTCCTTTCCTCGAGCAGCCCGACACTGGTCTCGAGATCGTCGTCGGCGATCTTCCTACCGGAAAGCTCCCCAAGCTCGAGCAGATGATCGGCCTCCCTGACTTTGAGTGGGCTGCTAAGAACTACCTCCCCATCGAGAACTACACATACTACCGCAACGGTGCTGCCGGCGAGTGGTCGTACCGCAACAACCTCGAGGTCTTCCAGCGTTACCGCTTCAAGCCCCGAACCATGGTTGATATCACCAACGTTGAGAACACTCTGCCCACCAAAATCCTCGGCCACAACTTCTCAGCTCCTTTCTTCATCAGCCCTTGCGCCAGGGCTGGTAACGCCCACCCTGATGCCGAGCTTAACCTCATGAAGGGTGCTGGTGAGGGCGACATTCTCTACATGCCCGCTCTCTACGCCTCTCTCACCATCGAGGAGATCGCCAAGGCCAAGTCTGAGGGCCAGGTCGTCTTCCAGCAGCTCTACCTCACCTCCAACGACACTGAGACTCAAGAGCTCCTTGACCGCTCCGAGAAGGCCGGTGCTGCTGCCATCGTCTTCACCGTCGACTCTGCTGCCGACGGCAACCGACATCGTGCTGCTCGATTCGGTGTTGGTTCCGCTGACTCCGACTACTCCTACATCACCTGGGACTACTACAAGAAGCTCCAGAAGATGACCAAGCTCCCCGTTATCATCAAGGGTATTGGCTCTGCCGCCGATGCTAAGCTTGCTGTTCAGCACGGTGCTCCCGCTATCATCCTCTCCAACCACGGTGGCCGTCAGCTCGATGGCAGCCCCTCTGGTCTTGAGGTCGCTCTTGAGATCCACCAGGAGGCCCCTGAGGTCTTCAAGAAGATTGAGGTCTACGCTGACGGTGGTGTCCGATATGGCGCTGATGTCCTCAAGCTTCTTTCTCTCGGTGTCAAGGCTGTTGGTCTTGGACGTCCTTTCATGTACGCCAACGTCTTCGGTGTCGATGGTGTCAAGAAGGTCATCGACATTCTCAAGCACGAGATTGCCATTGACGCTGGTAACTTGGGTGTTCCTGATGTCCAGAAGATCAACCCCAGCTACGTAAGTTAACATCCGAACCTTTGTGTCTGATCAATCGCTGACAACATGTTTAGGTCAAGTGGCAATTCAACAACTGGAACCAGTAAATCTGCATTGCGATGGCGTTAGGTTGTTGAGCTGTGGTGCTGGTACATACACATCCTGATTCAATTGTTTATATTTCATCATACATATAGATCCAAGAACATAGAGCATGAATCTTTTTACTACTTCAAATGCTAGTCCGAATCTTTCGTGAAACTCGTACCTTGCGGTACATTTGCAGTTCTTCACAAAGTGTATCTTGACAATCGGTGATCATTATACAATGCGTTTACTTGAACGCTCTTATGTTGCTGAATGGGAACTCATTCTTGTACTGTAGACAACAAGTTATTGCTTTCTTTATTGTTCATGATATGATAGATGGAAGAGAAGCCGGGGTAGCATCCGTAGGCCCGTCTATGTTTATGTTTACAACATATAATATAGATAAAGCATATGAATATTCTAGACTTCCGATTAGTTGACATGCAAGACATGCATATGCAGGTGCAGTTTTGAAACACATAAATCGTCCTCTATTGCATATATGGAATAATTCTCCCGCCCCGGTATGGGCCGCGTCTTGTGCATGTGAGAGTCATATCATGTCAAATGATCATTTCAAAAGAGATTCACCATATAAATGATTGATCTAGAAAATTATTTTATTATGTCACTTGTCAAAGTTCGAATTGAAGGATTGCCGGCTTGCAATCGCCTCCCATCCCGGCCCCGATCCGGCCGGCTCCGGGTGTTTCCCGACTTCAACCGGAGTGGTTGTCCGGAGGCAGCATATTCCCTGCTATAAAAAACAAAACAATGACCACCTGAGCTGAAGACGTGTCCCTTTGTTTACAGCTCCAGTTTCTTGCAGATAATGTCACGTTCACTGGAGCATCGACAACCTATAGATTTGTGATTCAGGTGGAACATAGGCCTTTCAGCTCGTATGTCGTGCAGTTACATACATGGATCATCCATCTACGATCTCCCGGCGGCCCCGCGGGGCGGAATGGACCGAGTTACAATCCAAAAGGATAGTACGTTGTTGTACTGTTGAGGTTGAGTTATAAATACTCGGAGATATCCTGAGCCCTTTTTCATTTCTGTTCTTGTCTGGTTTGGCTATTGATTCTCAGTCCATGTGCTTCTTTGACCATATCTCTTATACAGAACCCTACCAAACTTGCACGACCTTTAGATCTCCCGACACATTCTCTCCATAAGCTCTCACAATAGCCGGCTGTACTCTAGTCATCCTTGTCACTTCGATCCCGGGCCTGCCACTTTATAAGACAAATCTTCACCAACTTCCTATCGACAGTTGACAGATAGTCTCAACCTCGATAGATCATTCGCCGTAAACCAACATGCCTGGATCTATTAAGTCTCTTAAGCGTCGGCCTACAGCCAAGTCAGCTGCCAAGCGCATCGGCCGAATGTTCAAGCGTACAAACAGCGATGACCCTGAGGCAACTTCACCTGCAGACTCGGGCTTCTCCAAGGACTCGTTTGACAGTTCTCGAGTTTCGACATCGTCTCGATTCTCTACATCCTCACGAATGACTACAAAGGAGAATGTCGAGCAGCCTCGCCCTTCTGTATCTCGATACGACACTGCACCACCGAAAGAACGCGAAGTCGTACCCCCTCACCCGTTCTTTTCGTCCAGCTCGGAGCCACTTCTTGAGCATGGCAAGCCTGTTGGGCCTGGCATGCCAGTTCAAACTGAAGTAGTGATTGAGCCTGGCACGTTGCCTTCACCTTTAGACAAAGAGTCCAGGGATGAACCCAACTTGTCCCACACAAGGCTTGAACAGAAGCCTGAGCCGGTTGAGAAGTCCAAGAATATCGGGAAGACAGAAGAAGCACTTCAGGCGGCCTCTACACCCAAGCCAGCACCGCGTCCTTTGCCAGAGCCCCCAACAAAGAAGACTATCCTTCCCGAACCCGAGTCGCCGATTCTCCCAAGAACATTTAGAGAGGAGCCTAAGGTCACCCCTCAACTAATGCCCAAATTCGAGGTGAAGATGACACAGAAGCCCGAGCCAAAGGTTGAACCCAAGCCCAAATCGGAGCCGGCCAAGGAGATGGTAGTCCCCCCTCCAACTGTGGAAGATGAGCCAGAGCCTATTGTCAAGCCTATCAAGCCGATCAAGGAACAAATAAAGCCCAAGCCGAAAGCTGAGGTCAAACACTCTGCCCCCAAAGTTGATCATCAGAATGTGTCTAAGGCTCAGCATAAGGAAGTTCAGCCAAAGATGGAGCCCAAGGTCCAACCAAAGACTCAGATTCATAACAAGAGCACACCTATGGAGTCTCCTCCTATTCCTGAAGTTATTCAAAAGCCATCAAAGGCACCATCTCCAGAAGTCCCAGCTACTTCATCAGCGCCAAATGTTCCCACGATGCCATCTGCTATAGCAACATCTTCTGCCCCAAGGCTTGCCTCTATCCCCAACACAGCATCGGTTCCAACATACTCAGTCACACTCAACACATCAACAATATTTGTGCCCAAGACAGCCCCAGCTCCTTACACAGCTCGAGCCCCTATGACGGCCCCAGCTCCGATCATAGCAACAGCACCCAAAGTTGTCATGTCAATGCTTGATTGGACTCTCCCAAAGCCTGCTCCGGTCCCTAAACGAGCCCATTCTCCGGCAACCTCGTGGATCGTGTCTTCTGCTTGAACTTTGATCATTGGTTAACTGCTATAATTCGAATAGTTTCCTTTGTTTACTTATGATGTCTGTTATGATTGGATAAGTCTTTACGTGTAATTGATCAAGGTTGACCCAGAATAAGCAATAGATTACCTCAGAAACCTTGAATATCATCAATATATAAACATGATGTCTATCACCTTGATTCTGGTGCGAAAATGTGATGTGATTCAAGTTGTCATCATTATACGGTGTATCACTACTACTTAATCCGAAGATTTCTTAAGAAACCCTTGCGAAATCAAGCCCCGGACGAAAGCAACGACCCCCTTGATAGCAACAGGTTCAATAGTTCCCTGTACATCATAAGAAGGGTCAAATGATGCAATCGTCAACGATACTGGCTTCGTCTTTGACGGAATCATCTTGAAGCATTTCTCCAGATCATCTCCCAACAATCCACCGTGCGCAGAGAACTTGTTGACACTACCGACAGAAATATCGAGAGCGTCAAGATCCAAGTGCAGCATAGTTTGACTAAACTTCTTCTCATCAAGGACCTTGCCTAGTTCACTTTCGAAGTCAACATGATGCTCTAAATCACCCCAAATGACGGGAAACCCAGCCTCCTCGACCCGCGAGCGCTCAAGATCTGTCACGTCTCGCATACCGCAGTGTATAAGGTTATGCTTGAGATCCAAGGCTTCAAAACCAGGAATACTAGCCAAGAGAGTTTTCCAGCACAGACCTGCCATCATGGCAACAGGCATTGAGTCAAGATATCCACTCTTAAGAACATCAGGCGTGTTGAAGTCGTCGTGAGCGTCGAACCAGACACAAGAAGGTATTTTCCCAAGCGCAGCTGTTATACCGGCCTGGACACCAACAGTGGTTGAACAGTTACCAGCCAAGATGACAGGAAAATCACCCGCGCGAGCCACATCTGCCACAGCCTCGGAAGTTCGACGCAAGAGCTCAAAGAGGCGACTGATATCGCCGTCAAAGTCATCAACAGGCTCGAGCTCGAATACGTTGACAGTCACGTCGAGGTTGCGAATTGCCTCGACGAAGCCGGCATTGATGAGCGCTGTTGGTCCAGCACCGACGGCAACATCTCGGATACCAAGGTGATAGGGAGAAGTGATAATAGTTATGGATTTTGCGGGAGACATGCTGAGTATGATCAAGGATGTGTACCGTTATGGGTGGTGGGAGACGTAGAGTAAGGCTTCTTGTGAGCTAGTGATATTGACTCATAACAATGTGAACTTATTCGATGATTTGATCAAAGTACACAGAGCGATACGAAGTATTGGCATGAAAAGAGGACGAAGAAGTATTCAAGACGAAGACCAGTTCTCTCCTCTTATATATGTGGTCGTGGTAACTCCTTGACCCTTGCCAAAGCCGGAGCAGTATGGATATCAGGCAGGTATCTCCAATGCTTTAGTTAATCCCTGACAAATACTAAGAGAACTATAAGGTACCTAAGTCCTTGCTTTGGTACTCTTAAGAAGCATGTCGTTCTTACCTTGAGCCTGACAGAATCGGGGTCAAGATTGAGTCAGAGAGTAGTCCACTGGTGGTTCTGACTATGACTCGTCTACCGAAGGGCGCGCATTTTAACAAACACGCTTGATCAAATATTCTAACTCCACAGAATGACCCATAGCCTAAACCTGGAGATCTCAGTCAATAGTTCTTAGCATATTCATTCACCCGATCAAATGACTTTTCAAGACTCGTTGAATTCAAATCTAGTAGCTGTCTTCTTCCATCCAGAAACACCCCTAACCCAAAAAGTCAATTGAACATATTCCTGAGTCCTCCGCTACACGGATCTATCCCGCCCGACCTATTGAACCAAAAGCGCCAGCTAAAAAGAAACCACTGACGAGCATTCCCACTATGCGTACTCCAGCGTGTCGCCTCCTCGCCGCTCTCCAAACAGATATGCTGCCTCGAGACAAAATCGTCCATGTCCTCTTTCCATGCGTCTTTCGCTGCCGTAGCAGATCAAAACTGCGTCAACAATGCCGCTCAAGATACCTTCCATCGCGCCCATAACGGAGTATCCGATGAAACTAGCCATCATACCAACGACGTAGGCGTAGGCAGAGCCTCGGACACCCACGCCATCTGGTAGCTGAATTCGAAGCTGCTTAGCGGTGATGACCCAGCCTGCAAAACCAAGACCAGTGGCCATGATAAGTCGTGTTGCCACAAGCAGAAGTTTGGCAAGTCGATAGGGCAAAAGTCCATTAGGCTGTCCGCGATTTCGCAAAGCTCGAGGGGTTAATGTAGTTGTAGGAACCGTGGGAGATACAAGCTCCATCTGATCCAGGCCCCTGGCCGAAGTAGCAAGATTCTGAGAGTGTATAGCAGAGTAAGTAATAGTCAGAGGGTTCATCAACGCAATGACCGGTGTTGGAATCCAAAATGAGGCAATATTTGTGACGGTAGCTCCGAGCTTCCTGGGCAGGAAAATCAGAGGTGCTCGAATCAGCAGAGACAAAAGAGTTGACTCGCAGAGACTGCCAAAAATGGTCGTGAGGGCATGGTTGAGAGCAGCCGAAACAATCTCGCGCGAAGGCGTAGCAGGCCCAGCATTACGATGAAAGTACCACTGGGATACTGTTGCGGCTGTGGTAGCACGATGAACGGCATTGATCACCGAGACCGTCCACATATAGAGGAAGATGAATGCAGCTCCAAGCCACCAGCTTGAAAGCTGAATTACGAAACGGAGCATGGACTTGCTGAAATGACCGCCCATGAAGACCCTGGTAAACATAGCGAGCCATGCCCAGGTCCACACGACAATCAAGGCCAAACACCCGAAACCAACGAAAAGCAGCGCTGAGTTCTGGGCCAGAATGCGGCTGGAAAACTGAAGAATCTCAATCGCCTGTTGGATAGCGCGTCGACCTCGTACTACAAGCCAAATCCATAATATGCAGGAGATGGCAGGGATTATAGAAGCCCATCTCATGACGGAATCCTGGAAACTGCTTCCATGCCATCGGCCTTTGAAAGACGAAACAAAGGAGTATATCGAAAAGGAGAACAGAATGACTGGCACCGCAATCAAGATCACGCTGACCAGAGGCCGCACAAACGACCGGAGAGCTGCCAGCCAGATGAACGATACAAACACGGCCACCACTGTATCCACCGCAAGCATGTGAAATGACTTTTGTAGTGTAGTGTAGATGGTGTCGCCGACCGGGCTTTTCCGTGGTGATGTGTGAAGCCACACCAAGAAGAATGTTGAGAGCATACCAGCAAGACTGATTAAGAAGATCCAAGCAAAGAAGGGATCATGTCGAAAGATTTCACCCTCGATGTATTGAAAGGTCGTCTGTATAGGCTCTTCGTCCTGGGGAGCAACTTGCCGTATACTAGCATCGGTCTCTGTCGTAGACTCTCGCCTCGTCATAAATGGTGTTCGTTCCGCATCCGTACCCTTAAACTGCTGGAAAGCCGGAGGACTGCTGTCTCGTGGAGTCTGCCCTCCGAAAAGCGAAGCCGGAGGGTCCTCATCTGGATCCTCTTGCGACTCGAGTCCAACGTCAACCATTTTGCCCTTAGCATCGGTCCCATGGCTACTTTCTCGGTCTAGACTTGAACGAGTATCGTCTTCAGCTTCTTCTCCTATGGTATCTCTCGCAAGTCCTGGGCGATGAGTGCTTCTTGTTCCATTCCAGCTGCTTCGAATACCACGGCGCATGCTCATATCTCGATATGGATCCTCATGGTTCAAGCTGTCCTCCAAAGATCCCCGGCTATGGGCGTCGGATTCAACACTATCGGCGAGCTTGCTTGCAGCTGCCACCCGTCTTGACCTCTGGAGAGCAAACATATCGGCAGCCTCTCGATCCCTTTCTTCCTCGTCATCCTCTTCCCGAAATTCGTCCAGAGTGCTGTGGAATAGCGGCGCATCTTGGGCAGCTGATATGCGCGATGCGAAAGCTAATTGGCCAAACCGAGACCCAGCGCCAGTCTGTTGATATGGGTTTCCTCCGTAACCCCGACCCAAGAAAGATCTACTGGGTCCATTTCCTCGTCCTGTTTCGCGCTGATTTCGTGTGGAGCGGGATGGCCACTCTGATTGTCGTGGAGGATTGTCGTTGTTATCGGCTTGTCCGAAGTTCGATAGCCTGGATTGTGACTGGGCTAAGAACCTCGATGCATCTAGAGAACCAAGTCAGCTTGCTTGCAAGGTGTCGTAGAGAATAATAGGACATACACTCCGAAAACATCGCGCGCTCTCGACTCCTTCCGCCTCACGTGCGGGCAAATATGTAGGAACCAGTCCTTGTTGATGTAGATATCTGACGTGACGTAAATACGGTGATAGGCAACCACGGGTATCGCCGTGTAAGCGCAGAAGACGAGTGTTGTTTGGATTACCGGATCGCAATAATGGAGGCTGGTAGATGGAAAGCGGAGGTGGTGAGGAGATAAATCTGTCGTCCAGGCAAAGGCAAAAAATCACGGCTGAGATGCAGATGAATGAATGGCTGGTTGTTAAAGGTTGGAGAGTGGAAGTACCCGACCCAGGTCATGAGGCGAGGCGGCAGATGGCAGATGGACGGTCCGGGGCTTATCAGCGAATGAGTCGCTGACCGATTGCGTCTATCCCAGTGCAGTCAGTGCCAGAGTGCCCAGGCAGATCCGCTGGGAGGACCCCTGTTAGTGGAGGTACCTTAACGGACAGGGCCAACTGGGCAGGCGGTCAATGACCTGAAGACACGAGCACCTCAGGCGCCACAGGCAGCCGTGGGGTTGATGTGGAAGAGGCACACGACATGTCTAACAAGTACCGGCTGGAGTCAAAGAGCGGCTTGAGATACCTTCACGTGAGGTATTGCACCTCAAAGATGCACGCAATCACTCTCGTTTATTTTAGCATTCAACTCCACTTTGTTGACGATTCTCTGACTGCATGTTATTGCCACAAAACAGTTGCGATAGTGATCGTTTTTGTTGACGAGTAATCCGTATCTCATTCACATCATTACGACTGTTTTGAAACTCTCTTGACTCGTCGCTATTTACCAAGTTGAATCAAGCTTCGCTTGGTCTTGTGACACTTTAAAGATCTCTGAGTCTCACTCAGTCCTCACGCGGAGGCAATTTGCTTGCGATATCAAACACAGCAACATATGACTTTCACTGTATCAGAGAGAAAGATCAAACGACTCTGATCTCAAAGATAGTATATATACACTTACCTATATATACTTATCAAAGACAAAACACATCAACTGATCCAAAGACCGAAGGACTAATAAGACGTTATCGATCCATTCCCCTTGCGTCACCGATAACCACCAAGAAACCTCCTAATCCCCATTCGGAGATGGGCCCTTCAGGCACGAGGTGCAGCACCCTCAAGGTTCCACTGATACTGGATCTGATCTGATCTGCTTGGTTGTCGAGTTGCTCCAGGGAGTTAGCTTGCCTGCTTGTGTCGTACAATGCTGTAACTCGTGACAGCTCAGCATCTCAAACCATAGCCACAGGCCCCAACATCTGACTTGTGCTCTCTCCAGTTTCCTCCCCATGGCGTGCCATATTTTCTGGTATTTCTACTAATTATGATCTGTAAAAACACAATATTTGGCTCATTTACACTATTTTGATCTTATCGTCACTATCGCCATCTCTGAGTCTAAATCTAGCCCGACCGGAGCCACCTCTAGCTCCCTCAGATAAACCACCCAGCTTCCTCCAACCCTAAATTTCTACCACTTACAACCCATCCATTCTCATTACCAAGTCACGTTCACGAAACACCAGCATCACCAAATCAGATACCTCTCTTATCTTACTCTGTACCTCGGTTTTGACGTCGCACCACCGCAAAGGACAGCTTGCACGTGCTTAACTCCATCCTCTTTAGCTCGAGGAAACCAAGCCTATCGATCAGCTCTTCCCCAACGAACCTCTCTACTTCAATTCTCATCAGCCTTCTCAGTCTCTTCCCATGTCGACCACACCGTGGGATTACATCGCCAAGCTCGTCTGCATCGGCGACTCAGGATGCGGCAAGTCCAGTCTTACCATTCGTCTCTGCGAAGGACGCTTTTCGCCTCATCACGACGTCACCATTGGCGTTGAATTCGGCTCCCGTATCGTCCCTGTCGGTCCTCCCCACTCAAAAATCGGCGCCGCCAACTCTTCAGACCCCGATAGCAAAGACCAAGAAGCCGACGGTCTCCCTGAACCTCCTCGGGATGACTCCAACACACCCCAGAAGCATATGAAGCTTAGTCTTTGGGACACAGCTGGCCAGGAGACATACAAGTCTGTCACTCGATCTTACTTCCGAGGCGCAAGCGGTGCCTTGTTAGTCTTTGACCTGTCTCGAAAGCAAACCTTCCAGCATGTTACAGACTGGCTCAACGATCTACGACAGATCGCCGAGCCTGATATTGTGGTCATCCTGGTTGGTAACAAGGCAGATCTGACACAACAGGAGGACAACAAGCGTGAGGTCACACGCGAGGAGGCAGAGGAGTGGGCCAAGCGTAACGGGGTTATGGAATACGTCGAGACAAGCGCAAAGAGTGGCGAGAATGTGGAAAAGGCTTTCATGCGGGTAGCAGAGAGGATATACAACAACATCCAGGCGGGCAAGTATGATCTCAATGATAGAAGATCTGGGGTCAAGGGTGCAGGGGCTGGTGGAAACCGCCAAGTCAAGCTATCTGGAGATGCCAACAAGTCAGCAGGAGGTGGCTGTTGCTAGAGGATAACCCAGGACAATACGAAGAGGAGGGCACAAATGATCTACAGACACACGACGCATCATGATACCCAGTCAGCCAGCAAACGTCGTCATCATCGAACAAGTGTATGAAAAGCTCAATATGAATTGTACACAATAATGCATAATACATTGCTGGCCTTACCGAGGCCACCTTTATTAAGGACGCAACAGAAATGACAATATCATAGCATTACCGAAACAAGATCCATCCATAACTGCCTCGTTTTGTTGATCCTGCTTCGTCTTTTCTTCCTTCGTCCCTTGCTTTGATTTCCCAACAAATCCCGCGACCCGTCTTTTACATGGATTCCCCAATTCTATATCCTTGCAGCACGTTTTCGAAATCGAATAACACAAACACGTCTGCATGGCGGTGCATGAGACAGCTCGTCTAGATCACTGTGTAATCGAGAGAAGAGAGATTGCTCAAAACGTTGATCAATCCCTTAGTCAGTGACTCGCCAGTTGTCGAACCACTTCATGTACTTGTACTGCTTGTGGTTGCCAGTCATGCCCCAGCAAATGGGGATGAAGTAAATGTAAAGACCGATAATGACGGTGTAGAGAATGCCATACACGATGGTCTGGATGGTCTTGTTGCGGTTGCGAGTGAACCAGTCAACAAGGAAGCCAAAGTTGAGAATGGCAAAGTAGAGAGCCGGGTAGTAGTGATGCACGTAAGTAACACGGGCCATGATAACAAAAGGAAGATAGTGGAGGAACCAGCCGGCAAGAGGGTACAGTGCCGCATAGTGAATGTGGTCAATCTCGTTCTCGCTGAGATCGTTGACACCTCGTTGCCATCGAAGGATGTACCAGACAATGACAAGGCCAGCAATTCCAAGAGAAGCAGTAGAACCCCAGTAGATGAGAGGGTTACCAAGGAGGAAGTACTTGACGATATCATCACCCCAACCGCACATACGGAGACCGACGTGAAGGAAAGGCCACTGCCACCACTTGGAGGCAAGGTCATCTTGCTTGTCAGGGTCGGGGACCAGAGCGTTGTTGGAGGTCATCATAGCGACGTTCAGGTGGACGAAGTCATGGAAGAATGGGGACTTGTAAACACCAGCCTCGGCGGGAGGGACTATATAAAATTAGCATGAGCAAGTCTACATCGTTTTCTTCAAAACTCACGCTTGTCGTTCCAGTGAGCCTCAACGTTCCAGTGGGTGTAAGTGTCACGGGGGTTGTTCTCCTTGGTGCAAGTAACCTCAATCTGCTTGAAACCCCACTGAGGAAGGTTGACGTTGCCAGCTCGGAGGTAGCAGCCAAGGACCTCGTGCTTGAGACGGAAAGCAGTGGTAAGAGTCCTGATCTTGCTACGGTCGCGAGAAGCAGAATCACGAACAACCTCAACCTTCCAGTGGTCCTTGTCGTCACCAACAGTCAAGTTACCGTAGCTGGAAACTTCCTTGTGGCCTCGGGTGACAGGGGCAGCGATATCGTGAGAGTGCAGGTTGCGGCCAGTCTGAGCGTGGATAAGTCGAATGACGGAGTTGTCACCAATGAATCGGAGATCACCCTCAGGGTTGTAGTCCTCCTCTCGGCGGTTGGGGTAGAAGAACCAGTCGTTGTTGGTGTCCTTGTGGTGGTAGCAAGTAACCTGCTGCTGCTTGGAACCCTCAGGGTACGTCTGAACGTGAGAGTGAAGAAGACCACCACCATAACCCATGTTCTTGATAGTGGCGCGAGAACCGATTGCAATCTCGAGAGGGCTGTCCTTTCCAACCTGAGTACCCTTGAGGTTAGCCTGGAAGAGAGAGCTCATCTGAGCATCACCAGGGCCGGAGCGATCGAGAATCGCGAAGTGCAGGGCGAAAGAGAGGAGGTAGATCAAGAAAGGGATGACGATGAGACCAACAACACGGGTGATGACGTGGGCACCAAGAGTGGTCTATGGATCATTAGTTGAGAACATATATCAGTCATGATACTACTTACAACAGGCATCTTGGTGTCACCGAACTTTCGCCAGAGATCCTCAACGGTGTAGAGGCCGACGAGAGCAGTAACGAAAAGACCAACAAGCTTAACACTGCAGACACAGCCAATGCTGAGACCAGTCAAGAACAGCCAGAAGAACCACTCAGGCTCGAAGCTGTTGTGTCGCTGGTTGTGGAACTTGGACCAGCAGAAAACGGTGGCGACGGTACCGCATAGCAGCATAGAGTCGAGCAAGATGAAACGGCTGATAGTGGTGTAAGAGTTCTCGCAAAGAACCATCAGAGTAACGAGCCACACAGCAGGACGTCGAAGCTTCAGCTCACGAGCAGTGTAGTAAGCAAGAGGAATGCAGAAGATACCGAAAGCCGCATTGAAGATACGCATGATGGTGTAATTGACTTCCTCGGGGTACTTTTCGCCAGACTTGAACTCGAATGTTCCGTTGTAGCCAGCCAGGACTCCAGAGAGACCGACGAGCATCTTGCCGAGAGGGGGGTGGACATCGAAGTAGTATTCATGCTTGATATAGTAGGAACCGAACTTGCCGAAGCTATCGAAGCGTTAGAAAAGGACCACGGGATGGTGAAAGTCAATTCGACATACTGAGCTTCATCCCAAGTAACGATATTGCTGATACCAATCTTGTAAAGTCGAGTGAAGATAGCCAGGAGAGTAAAGATCAGCGGGGCAATGACAACCTCCCACTGGTCGAGTGTTTGGAGCAATGAGGACTCCTGAGATGTGGTCAGTATTGTTCAATGGCACTTCTTCGATATACAGGTGCAGTACCTTCTTGACAAGCTTCTTGTTGTCCTCAGGCTGAGGAGTCGGGGGTTGCAGGTTAGCTTGTCCAGCGACAGGACGCTGCCTAAGACCATCGCCCAGGTCAGCGCCTGAGGCGACGGCAGCCTTGTCGGCAGCCATGATTATTCAATCGTATAGATATCGATTCGAAGGAGAAGTCGCGATGTTTGTAGAATGGATGTTTGATGGGGGCCAAAGGGGGTTGATGTTGGCGAAGTAAGCTTGACAGGAGGGAGAAGAGGAAAAAAGATTGGACGAGCTGTCGAGACTCAAGGGAATCTGGAAGGGAGGAACACCAGCTTCAACGAAGGAGCTGTTTCTAAAATCCTGTGATCATAGAAGAGAACGCGGGTCAGAAGGGAAAAAAGAAGAAGAACCAGGAGAGGAAAAAGAGATAAAAAAAGAACTGGAGATGCCCGAGTCCAAAGAAACGAAACTGAACTGGCCCGGCTTGTGGTGGTTCTAAGAATATTACACGACAGTCCCGGCGCAGGCTGAATCTCTTCTGTCCCCTGAAATGCCACATAACGTCCGTCACCCAAAGACTGGCCACCCCCACAGACCGGCCACCTCACTTTTAACCCAGCCACCCAATTTATATATACTTTAAACAGTCACAACTCTACCAATTTAATTCCAATTAATTTCAAACTAACGCCAATCAATTCAGAATGCCTTCTTTTACTGAAAAAGATATGAGCGCCGCTCTCCAGATGGTTGCAGAGGGTATGTCAGTGAATAAAGCAGCCGAAGCTAATGGCATCAACCGTTCAACGCTCCAAGGTCGGATCAAAGGAAGTACAACACCAAGAGAAGCCCAAAAACCTCGCCAAAAGCTCTCTGATATTCAGGAAAAGCATCTGCGAGACTGGATTATTATTCAGGCTGATTTAGGATGCCCTGTATCACATCAGCAAGTCAGAGAGTTCGCCAGCAAGATTGCCGTCCGCAACGGCTTCCCAGAAGGCGTCGGAAAGAACTGGTTACAGGGCTTTTTAGGACGAAATCCTGATATCAGGACTTTAAAAGGCAAGAAAATTGACTCTGATCGATATCAGGGAGCTTCTTCTGAACTGATAAAGGCATTCTTTATGCTCCTGATGATGCCGGCGATACGCCTAGTCAAGCAGGGGAACAGATACAACGTCGACGAAGTTGGAATGATGGAAGGAATAGGAATGAACGGTCTATTCCTTGGTCATCAGTCGAAGAAGTCAGTACTTATTCGTCAGCCTGGTTCTCGTGCCTGGATTACAATTCTCGAGTGTATCTCAGCAACCGGGAAAGTCCTGAGACCTACAGTCATTTTCAAGGGGAAAACAGTCCAACAACAACATTTCCCTGAGGATTTAGACTTCCTAGATGACTGGGAATTCGCCTGTAGTGATAAGGGCTGGACGAGTAATAAATTGGCATTGGTTTGGTTGAGAAAAGTCTTTATTCCATCGACGCAGCCCGAGAATCCAAAAGAACCCCGTCTTCTTATTCTTGACGGCCACGGAAGTCATGTTACAGAAGAGTTCCTTTGGGAATGCTATGATAACAATATATATCTGTTATTTCTTCCTGCTCACGCTTCCCATGTCCTTCAGCCACTAGATGTTGCTGTTTTTGGTCCCCTAAAGAGGGCATATCGTCGACTTCTTTTAGATCTTGTTTCTGTCGCTGATGACAGTCACGTCGGCAAGATTACATTTCTATACACTTACGACAAGGCTCGGAGAGAAGCTATCACGAAGTCCAACGCGATTGCCGGCTTCAAAGCCACTGGACTGTGGCCTGTCAATCTGGCGAAGGTCCTGATGAACCCGATGGTCACAGAGACACCTTCTCCCGCTGTCACAGCGAATTTGCCGGCTAAAGAGCAGCATTCCAGTCTCCTGAAGACTCCCCAGTCGTCTGTACAGCTTCGGCGAGCTCTAGACCTAGTCCCAGCTTCTGCAACTCAAGATCCGACTATCAGGCTGCTGTTCAGGAAGATTGGCAGTCAATTGGACCGTCATAACTTCAATATTGAGCAGCAAAATAGACAAATAAGTGTTCTACAGCGGGAAAATGAAGAAAATCGACCAAAAAGGCGTAAAAAAGTTATCTATAACCCAAATGCTGAGTTCGCAAAGATTCCAGCGATCAAGAAGGCTCGTGAACAGATGTGGAGGACTTTGCAGCCAGAAAGAACGGCAAATAGGGTTAAGAAATTAAAACTTGAGGACCTTTGTACTCAGTTTCATCTAAATATTCACTGACTAAATTTTTATTTAATATAAAAAATGTGGTGTTGAGATAATTAGTTAATTGATCATGATATCCGGTTCTTGGTGTTTTGGTCGGGGTGGCCGGTCTGTGGGGGTGGCCAGTCTTTGGGTGACGGACGTTATGCTCTACGGGCGAGTCGTCACGCTAAGCAGCTGCTCCCGTACGGCTCCCCTTGGTGTGAGCTCCCGACCAGTCGATACTACCCCCACCTCAGCCTAGTCCAGCCCTCCAGCTCCCATGTCTGTTTTCGATAGCGCGTTGCACTGAATGTTTTAGGGGCAATCAGCTGCAGGGATCCAGGGATGAAATTCAAAAAAGTGGCGCCTTTTTTTTTGTCAGTGTCAGTGGTTCAGCAACATGTACTTGCCAGTGAGCAAAATTGACAAGAAACACTTGAGGTCGCGTGGCCCAATGGCAAGGCGTCTGACTACGAATCAGAAGATTCTGGGTTCGATCCCCAGCGTGATCAGTTTCTTTTTGCTGTTTCTCGATCTGAATCTGTTTCTGATGCTTCTTTAATTGGAGTGTTTGTTTCCAATTGACCTTCGAAAGTGGACTGGTCGCAGGAACAGTTAGGTACAGTTATGAGGAAACACCTTAAAAGCACTCTGGTCTCGATGTCAGTAGTAAGAACTACTGCACTGGCATTTGCATCATTTTGCTATATCAATATTATTCTTAGTTTGTCGACGATTACATATTTCTTAAAGCTGTTGATTCTGAATGCAGCCTCTTCATACAATGAGACATTGATTAGCAGACAGCTGTCTCCGACTAATGACGTCCATCTCTGCGACCTACGCAAGCGAAGAGACAGAGAGACATGCAGAGCCGAAGGCGTTCAAGGCCCCACGGTTCGTCATGACTGAACCCCGAATTACTGGGCAGAAACAGCCTCTCTCTGTTTGTCTTTTGTACTGAATCATGAAACATGAATAAGCTCAGAGTGATTGGCCTTCGAACATTATTTCAGCATTTGAGTTTCAGGGCTATAAACTATTTCAGTCTTGTATAATATCGAGGGTCCAGGAAGGGTCTCCCTGGCCTGACGGCTTCAGCGGAACATACCCCAATCTCATCTGTGCCTCACTTATACAGATGACCTAAAACCAAGAGATTGACCGCCGAATTCAATTTGTTCCACCGTATTTTACCGTCTTTGGCACCATTAATCCTTTTCCTACGTCTCTATCGTTCAATTTCCCCACTACATTCCCTATATATCCGAATCCTCGCCTGATCGAGGTTACGACAACAGGCGGTTTGATCCGTTCCCGTAATCGGAGCGTACCTTACCTTGTACCTATGGAACTGACAAAAATGTTAGTTGGGGTTTCAACGGTTGCAAGCGAAACCGTCGATTTCAAATTGGCAAAACGACGGTGTTGAGATTTGTTGCTGGCAGTCAATATATGATTTCCAATGGCAATTGTATAAACGCAATAGACTCGGAGGCCTTCTGTGAACCACAATCCACAGTCACATGCTAAAACTGGCCCCGTTCTTCCCCTTCTAATCGCTCCAAACGCTGCACTTACTGCATATTATCCGCTTACCGTCCGCTATTCGGAAAACTCCACTGAATGTCACTGGAGAGCAAAGTCGCCTTATGTCATCCAACTCCAGTCGAAAGTTAGAAGAACAGAGCTAGAGACGCCGTAGTCTCTGGCTTCTCCAGTCTCTCGTCATTCCGTTGTTTTGAGGCGCCTGGTCCTGTGCCGTTACCGTTTCTCCTCATTGTTACAGTACCATTACCATATTGCAGTTCTCTTCTACCTCGTCAGATCCCCTCTTTCAGCGTCATTCTCTACCATCCCTCTCTCTCCTCCACTGTATCAGTATCGGCGCAAGTACAGTACAGTACAATACAGTACAGTTTCCAACAACCACCTCCTCTATCTTATTAGTGCGCCCGTACGGTATCTTGGATCGCCGCTTAGGCCTTACCCTCTTCCCAACTTACTTTAAGCCTCCGCTCCAACCTACCTACCTACCAACTTGATGTCTTCCCTCGTGTCAGAGTTTCTCATCAACCCCGTCTTGCGTCAGGCTCGTCGATTTTCCGAAATCTCGCGATCTACCTTCACTGGCGATGGAGGCGACTCGACCGAACACGCTGACGCAGTGAGCGATTCCGGTCATCCTGATAGTCCTGTCTCTGCGCCTGTACCTGTACCTCTGCCAGTACCTGAGCCGGCACCGGTGCCGATCATCGAGTCTCCCCTCACCAGACCCCTCAGCGTCTCGACCCAAGAAACAAGAGTTGAAGAACCCGAACCAGTTCCAATCATGTCCCAAGAAACTCCTCCCCGCGATCATATCGGGATTGCTCTGAGCCCGCTTAGCTCTCGTCGGATTCCGGAAGATGATGGTATGCGCGAGTTGCGATCCCGGATCCATTCGATCAACGCCCAAGACATACCCCAAAATGATAAAGCGCGGTTAATCCACGATATTCTGTTGGAAGGATATAAGTCGTCCAAGACAGTACCGCTTGTGAAGAAGATCCTGGAGAGTGGTGAAGGCTTGGATGTACCTCTGTCGCAATCACCGTCGTCGCCAGTATCGAGGCCGTTGAAGTTCTGGCAGAACCAACCGGATGAGGAAATATTTATCTTGAGCGAGGAAGACAAAGCACCGACGTATGTACCTGTGAAGCCGCCGAAACGACATGGAAGTGAGACTCCAGTGGAACCTTTAGAGGTAGTACCAGAAACGGAACAACCTCTTGGATGCCAACACTACGAACGAAACGTCAAGCTCCAGTGCTTCACATGTAAGAAATGGTACACCTGTCGTTTCTGTCACGATGCGAACGAGGATCACAACCTCATCCGTACAGAGACCAGGAACATGCTCTGCATGCTTTGTGCAACACCACAGAAGGCCTCGGACATGTGCATCAACTGCGGCGAGTTGTCGGCATACTATTATTGCGATATTTGTCACTTATGGGAGAACCGTCAAAGTAAACCCATTTACCACTGTAACGACTGTGGTATTTGTCGTCGAGGCATGGGCCTCGGCAGGGACTTCTTTCACTGCAAGGTGAGAACATGATTATGCCTCTATGATATTGAATGCTGACTGGCTGTAGACCTGTCGGGCATGTATTTCGACCTCGATTGAGGGCTCTCACAAGTGTATCGAGAGATCAACAGATTGCGACTGTCCCATCTGTGGCGAGTACCTCTTTACTTCACCACGGCCCGTGGTCTTCATGGCTTGCGGTCATAGTATCCATAAGAAGTGCTACGAACAGCATATGAAAGTTTCATACAAATGCCCGATCTGCAATAAGAGTCTTACGAATATGGAGAGCCAGTTCCGAAATCTAGATGTTGCCATCCAGACTCAGCCCATGCCACCGGAGTTCCGCGACACCACTGCCGTTATTCTGTGCAACGATTGCTCCGGAAAGAGTACTGTTCGATATCACTGGTTGGGTCTGAAATGCTCCATATGCCGGTCATATAATACGGTAGAACTGAATATCGTGGGAGGTGACCGCACAGGATCACAACCGCCTGCTGAAATGCAACCGATCGTGGAAACTGGACGGGATGCTTCTGGATCTGTGAGTGGAAACCGAGCACCTATCACAGTGGGAAATAGGCGCAGACATTCGTCTCACGGTGTTGAGGCTCAATACCGCGCTCCGGATAGAGTTGCACGATCAGTGTCCCCTGGCAATTTGGGTTTCGACTCGATCATGGCACACCTGCCACCAGACGAAGAGTCCGAGGACGATATCCTTGGAATTTGGAGAATCCGAAATCGTGGCAACAATGCATCAGAGAATGACGAAGACTCTGAACTGGATGATCTCAGCGACACCCTTTCGGACGCTGAAGAGGAAGACGACGATGATGACGAAGAAGACGAAAACGAAATTGTTCTTATTGGACATCGATGAGCAATCACAAAACAGCATGATACAAAAATTCAAAAGGGTTGGCTAGGTTGTTTTACTGCAAGGCGTTGGCGGAGACTGCATTAACTTGGTGGGGGGAATACCACTTGGAGGCTACTGACTGACTATATGTGTACGAAGGGATGTGACTAGGTTGGTGGTTTGCATCTTGGGCGCTTATTATTCTGCGTTGATCTTGGGTTTTTTAATAAGATTCAACGGACACAAAGTAAGGTAGCATGATTGTTTGAGTATGTACCTAGGGCATGAGTGCAACAAAATCTCTATTCTGGCAGAGTCTTAATTGCGCCGGTTAAGTGAAAGCATTTCCCTATGAACGCCTACCGAGGCAATATTTCCATAATTCCAAATTCAATTCGTGTCAAATCTCTGTATAGAGTTCATTCCGCTCACTTAACGTCGTCCTGCCGCGGCTGCAGGTTGCTGGGCCTCTTGTCTGAGTTCCTTGATAACTTGCTGCATGGGAAAAAAAATTAGAAACTCTTTCAACTCGTAAACAAGTAAAGTTCGATTACGTACCGCTAAAGCCTCTGGGTTCACTCCGCGCTCAATCATAGAGATGCAGATTGATAGAGTTCGGCGATCAAGGTGACAGTTCTGTGGTCTCAAGTCAGCGGTCGGGTCTTCACGCGTGTTGTTTTATAGATGAGCTATCGTACTAGGATAGTAGAGATCTCATGGAGAATATCTACAGCTTGTTGTGCAGCGGCGTGCTTATCTGGTTCAGGCATGATGGGTGTTGGTGGGCTTTTGATATGGTGTATGAAGAGAGGGAAGTGGAGATGGAGGTTAATTGATCATGGCGGGGAGACGCGGGTCGCGGCTTGGTTTGGGCTGATATGCAAATCATGACAATAAACAGCAAAAATACTATGAGAAATGGTACGGCTACCAGTGTTTTTAGAAGGAGATTTCAACATGACGATCTAATTTAACTTTCGATTTTCAACACGACCTTATTGGTAAATATAATTAGTATCTAGGAGGCCACTTTAGTGCACAGGTCAAAGATCTTTCAGACACTCAGAGATAAACTCGGAACCTTATATCAAACAGAAGAAATCATCCAAGGTATAATTATCGTTCTCAAAAACAGCGTTATCGCACATAAACGGTCGTCGCAGCATAATCCATCAATCAGCTCTTCAGGTCTTCATAGCCTCCACAAACAACTCTCTCATCCCCTTTAGCAGAACAACCAATTCCCTCGACTCATTCAGCTTATCCAACACCTTCTCAACCTTCTCCCTCTCGATCTTGGGTCTGCAATGCTTCACATCGTAATCACGTGAGCTTGTAACAAGTTCGAACCAAGCCTCGCGCTCCCAATCCTTCTCGTCAATATGCGTGTACACAAACTTGAGACGATCGTCGTGGCCAGCGCCCTCGATCTTGAGGCATAGGTTGGTGATCCAGAAGTCCAACTCAGGCACGTTGAAACGAGACTGGGCTTGTTGCTGTTGAGCGTATTCGCGCTGCGCGGCAAGTCGGGCTTCGATCTCGGCTTGTGTTTGTGCAATTTCAGCCTTGAGACTGTCGCGGGTTGCGAGGTGGTTATCGCGCTGGGCAGCGAGGGAGTTAATAGCGCTCTCCATCTCGCGCGTTTCCGCCTCTTCCTTCTCAATTGTTTGTTGGTGCGTCGAGGTCTTGACTTGAATGATTTCGATGTCTCGCTTCTTCATACGTTGATCCTCTGATGTAGTGGTTAGCAGATATCTTATGCGCTGGCGGCTTTGGAGCATACCTTGAAGTTCAGCGACGTTCATGCGAAACTGGTTGCGCTCTTCGAGGACGCGCTTACGGCCCTCTTCAATGAATGCATCGAATCGGGCCGTGAACTTTGCCATGCGATCGCGCAGGTCATCGAAGCCAAAGTTGATGTTGGGCAGCTGGTTTGCGACAGAGGGGCCGACGGGGGCCATGCTCTGTCGCATACTGGCAGATAGGGAGGACTGAAAGTCGGTAGCCATTGCGTATGACTCAGGATCGTGGGGCGGTTTGGCTGGTGTTGTTTTCGGCTTCAAATTCTTGTTCCGTTGGGTAAATGGGGTTGATCATGAGGATACAAACTGGGCATTGTTCTACTGTATTTACACCGCGAAATTGCGTTGCTCGGTCGACTAATAAATGTGGCGCACCTCGCTTGCACCGCCACGTGGGGCCGTCGAAAGCTTCACTTCTCATCGCATGCGCAAAGCATCTCTAACTTTACGTTTACTTATACTCACCGATACTGCTCTTCTATAGATGCATTTCTGCCTGCGCGGCCAAATTCTTCATCGCACAACCTCGTATGACATAGGATGCCTTTTTAGTGCTTCAAATACTACTGACTCCCGCTCGAGACTCTCTTGCGCTTGTACTAGCCCATCTCGCGATGAAGAAAGGAAAATCGGCCAATATTTCAGCACATTGGAAATCAAGACTTGGGCCAAATGGCTGAGACCAGGCGACTTACGGACCTAATCCACGGTCACGTAGGAAGTCTTACTTATATACCACCTGAGAATGCGACAGCGCAGCCTGGGACTTTTCACTCCAGTCGCGTAACAGCTGAAGGTGAGTTCATACAATCTCTTTGCGCGCATCGCAATAGTAACAAAGATGTCCAGCGCCTCACTTTAAAGTCATTGGATCTTCAGCAGAGTTGTACCCGCCTTCAAAAACTCCTGCTCCGGAGATCTCGTCCAATTTATGGCAGGAAAGAAGAGTTCAAAAGCGATGGCTACTCCAGGCTCATCCCGAAGCCTTCATGGGCAACTCGGCGCTATCGGAACTACTACAGGAGAATATGGATCGCTACTCAAAGGTCGAGGGCGAAGTTAGCGATCAACCATTACTTGCTATCGGGCAAATGACGAATGTGTCGAATCACTCAAGAATTACCGGATCACCCATGCTTGCGGCTGCTACGGGAGAGTCAGGAGAGCTGCTTAGACTGGCTCGGATCGATCAATCGAAATGGAAATGGGGAAACGATAAGCGCACGACTCTTCAACCCTCTGTGATTGACCCTGATGATCCCGAGGAAGAGGCCATTTGGGCCAGCGATGGTCTGCCAATTTCTCAAGTCAAATTCGCAACTAGTCTCACACGATATGATGCCATTCGCTGGCTCATTGTTCAGAAGCAAACTTCGACCACGATTCTCCATCCAGAATATCACAAGGTCCCAGTAGCTCAATCGCCTGCTTCTGACCTCAATATTCATCAGTCACGCCTGTCGCGAATCGATCCTAACCCGATCCTGGCCGTCTCTCATAAGATGACTGGTGGCAACGCGCAGGTGGACGTTGCTTTCAATCCGAACTCCAAGGGCCTGCCACCACAGATCGCCATCATTGACGAGTGTGGATATTGGTCAATATGGGACATCTTAGGGGGGGACAAGCTGAAAACACGACTTCTGCCTTACTCACGTGGACATGTCTCGGATGGATTGTTGAACGATCTGCCCTCCACGACAGAGCATCCTGCTGAAAAGCATGGGGTTTTATTTGTCGGCACTGCCAAAGTGGACAGTTTCTGGGAAGATGGTTCACAGAGTGCTGATGACTCTAGAGGATTAGCGCAACGATCGAGTCATCTCCTGGTCTGGAACAGGGAGAAGTATGAAGTTGTTGATCTCGTATCGCACATAGCTCTGCCCCAACTCTCATTATTGGCTCGTCCAAAGTCCAAACCTGATGCAATTCTTGACATCAGAGTCAGCCCAGCCAACCAAAATCACATATTCGTCTTAACCATGCGCACTATTTACTGGATTGACTTATTTACGAAAAGCACGCAGGAGGAGGAGGAAGGACCAAAGCCGACTATTCTGATATCCTGCCCTCGTTTGTTGGACAGAGAAGGGTTGCGAATGACAACATGCCTTACTTCAGAAGGTGGACAAGAGGCTGCTATGGTGTTTGTCTTTTCTCCGACTCACAGACAACTCCAAACCTACTGGTTCGGACAGTCAAAGACAAGCGGCCTTCCTTATTGGCACCGTGATACGCTTACTCTTCCTCAAAATGGCGAATCGGCCAGTGGCGATATTCAATCACTCGAAATCCACCCGGTCAGGCTCACGCGGGATGGGGACGCTTCGTCTGGCCTTGGAGCCTATTATTACCGTGCAGGAGTTCAATTCTACCAAGGCAGCATCCTGAGCAAGAATTTGGGTGTGCAATACTGCATCTGTGTCTCAGTCAAAGATCGCAATATGCAGATTACGTTGCCTAGTGGGCGGGTTGGCCGTAACAAGTCAGACGAAGCGCAGCGCTGGAAAAAGAAACGAAAACAGTTCATTAGACATATGGGCAGCACGTTTGTGCTTCCTGAAGGCATGGCTGATGACAACATCAAACATGTAGTAAAACCTAACAATCGATCCAAGGACCTCGATAAGATGAAGAGCAGAGCATCTGCAGTTTTCGGGCCTATAAGCTTGAACCTGGATGGCTTGTGCCGTTCTCTTCAACAGACCTTGCTGGCTATTTCAGACAGTCTTCATGATATACCACCCGCTTTACTATCAGCTATTCAAGAGAATATCACTGAGGGGGTGGCTGAAGGGAGACTCCCTCTAAAGACTTGGAAAGAAATCGGCGACGAGCTTGGTCCGATGGATTTACGAAATGGGTTTCACGAAACACAACCCGATATGCTTGATTTGTTTGCAGGCGATGATGGACAAACAGTCGTGACGCAACTCGGAAGACAGACTTCGCAAGAGTGGATTCGGGAACTTGTCAGTTTGTCACATCTTAACCAAACATACGTTGATCTCTGGCTTGATCCGCTGGAAGGAAGAATACCCCAACAAGAGGAGGAAATAAGAAGGGGCTGGATCGCAGACTTGGCTAAGGACATGTTCCTCGCGACAGCTGGAGTTATGGTTCAAGATATGCCCCTTTTGGGGCCGATAAGTCAAGAGGAAGATGGACGAACTCAGCCCACTCAGTCGAGTGTAGTTCGAATCAACTCATCGCAGTCATCAGAAGGTGGAATTCCTTCATCGCCTCTCAGTGCGACACCAAACATTGCCAATGATGCAGCGATCAGGCGACTACAGCTCCTCGCCCCATCATTGAGATTGGACAAGATGGAAAATGCCAAACAGTCTAACGTGCTGTCATACTGGCCCACCGAACGTGGTGTTAGTACAGATGACTACATGTCCAGCGTTGCTATTGCTAGCGACAGAAAGTTTGACGAGGCAAGATTGCGACTGCAAAGGATCGAAAACAAGCGTAAGGCCCAGAACGACAAGTACAAACTTCCACCGTTTATGAGAGAGGGAAGAGACCCCAAGGCCATAAAGACTTCCGTGCGAACTACAGCGGGCAACCCCATATCTTCGCCGATGCGTCCTCGGAGAGAGGAGCCCATGGCGCTGCCACCGATATCTGTTGCTCCCACGCCTCAAACCATGTCGAGCCAGCAAGGCATACCTTCGTCATCACAGAGTCAAGGACTCTTTGGTCCATCGTTTGCTATGAGCCAGCCTGTATCGGGCATCTTTGGAGATAGGAAGAAGGCTAAGAAGAACAAGAGGAAGAGTGGATTTAGATGAAGCAAGCGAAGCAAATTACAGGAGTTTTGGCTATGCATTCAGGGTTATTGATGATATACATGACATATATAATTGCTATTATTTAATTGCTAGTCAGGAAATCATGAAGATTGGTTGTTTCTCACTGGGGTTTGGATTGTGCGACCTTGGGCCAGTTATTAATGTTCATGATATCCAGTCTTGGGCGCTTATGTAGGGGACCCAGTGCTAAAACGTCATCCTCAATTGTTAATGGTTCACTTGACTTACAACCAACATCAACTCAACCATCACCACGAGCTTAAGCCAGTTTCGCAGAATCAACTGCCCTTACAATTAATTACTTATTGCGGAGCTATTCAGATCATTTGAACATCATGTCTCACTGCCATGATGAACATTCTGGCCACGGCCACGACCACGATCATGAGCATGATCACTCCGACGACATCACACCAGCAGTGCAGTTCTCACTCTACAGTCAAATCAACTTTGATCATATTGTCACTCTGAACGAAGCCCAGCGAGATGCTGGTCAGACCATCGTTAAGAAGACGTGGCAAGAGAGACTCAGCGTTGAGCCTGAGCTAGAGAGTGACGTTGATGAGCAGCTTCTCATGACAGTGCCGTAAGTAAACCCCATCTTACATACAAGTATTGTACTGAATTACATCAGATTCACGGCCCAAATCAAGCTTCACTCCATCCTCATCCGCACATCCCCCTCAGCCTCAGCCCCCAAAACCCTCCATCTCTTCATCAACCGAGACGATCTCGATTTTGCAGCCGCCGAGGAGTCAGACCCTATTCAAACTCTCGAGCTCTCTCAGACAAGCGATCTGCAAGAGATTCCCGTGAAGAGAGCCCTGTTTGGAAAGGTGCAGCGGCTGGTGCTCTTCTTTGCGGACAACTTTGGCGACGGTGATGAGGATGTTACCCGAATCTCGTACCTGGGCTTCAAGGGTGAATGGACTCAACTTGGACGAGCGCCTGCGAATATCATCTACGAGGCTGCTGCTAACCCGGGAGATCATAAACTCAAGGGTACGAGTGTGAATCAGATGGGGAGCGGTATTGGAGGGAGGGGTCCTGGAGTTTAGAGAGGATAAAGGTCAACACGATTCACCAGCAACAAAAGAAGAATAAATAGAGAGACTAAATGATAAAGTCTCATAAACTATCAAATACGAAATCAATTCAAATCGCTTCGTTAAATGATTTCATAGCATCTTTCACTCCCAGACTGTTGTGCCATTTCACTACAGCCAATGCTAGCCGGGAATTCTCCGGGTGCTGCAAAAGCTCTCCAGTATCTCAGCCTCACCCAAAATCTTTCACCACTATCAACCGATCCGACCCATCGCCCTCAATATCCCACCAACGGCGGCCCAATTGCCTCTCCTCGACAGCGTCACCGCCGCCGTCGACACGCCGCCTTCAAAAATGCCTCCTCGTCTGCCAATTCGCCTGGCCCTCCCACGGCCCTGCGCCGTCGCCGCCCGGCCTCTCCTCCTCCCACTCACAGCTACCCGCGGTGTCAAGTATGGATGGACCACGGCTCCTCCTCGCAACAAGCACAAGCGATTCAACCAGCCTTCTTCCGGCCTTCCTGCTCTTACAAATGGTCCTGCTGCTGCGCTGAAGCGTCGGGAGAATACTACGCCTCTGCGCTCGGGTGTCCTTGCTACCAAGAAGGGCATGACTAGTGTGTTTGTTGGAAAGACCCGTGTGCCTTGCACCGTGCTGCAACTCGATCAGGTTCAGGTTGTCGCCAACAAGACCCGACAGAAGAACGGTTACTGGGCTGTGCAGATTGGTGCGGGCTCGCGTGATGGTCGAAACGTCACAAGCCCATTGCTGGGTTACTACGAGGCCAAGGGCATTGCACCCAAGGCTGAGCTCGCCGAGTTCAAGGTCCGAAACGAGTCTGGTCTTCTGCCCGTTGGTGTTCAGATTCTTCCCGACTGGTTCAAGAAGGGCCAGTACGTCGATGTCAAGGGCCGATCGCGGGGTATGGGTTTCGCTGGTGGCATGAAGCGCCACGGCTTCTCCGGTCAGGAAGCTTCGCACGGTAACTCCAAGAACCATCGAACAATCGGTACAACAGGTCCCTCGCAAGGCAGTGGTAGTCGTGTCATGCCCGGCAAGAAGATGCCTGGTCGTATGGGCAACGAATTCGTCACAGTACAGAACCTCAAGGTCATGATGGTGGATAACGACTTGGGTATTGTGCTAGTCGGTGGACCTATTGCCGGTCCCAAGGGTCGTGTTGTTCGTCTTCAAGACGCCAAGAAGCGAAAGGCTCCTCCTCAACCTCATCGTGAGGCTGCTTTGGCTACTCTATTGGAGCGCAACCCCGATCATGAGGTTAAGCTCCAGGAAGCCCGGGAGAGGCATCTTCAGCTGAAGAATGAGAGAGAAACGGCGCAGCTTCAAGACTAATGACTTTTACCATGGATTGTAAGAGGGACTTTGTACTACGTATGATAAAATGGGAGAGATCATAAGCGGGCTTTTTGTATTATACACACACACACACACACACACCATCTACTGTACAGATTCGACTATAACCGGAGTACCCAGGGTTATCAAATTCATTTTAACAACAATGCTCGCCTCCCATGTTCCCTTTGAGTGGCCCATCATGCCTCACTTGTATTCGACCTGCTTTCGGAATCCTCTTGTAGGAGCGTCTTCCTCCACAGCAGGAAGATCCTCACCACCTCCAATGAGCGCCTTGAAAGGATCACCATTATCCAAAAGGTCCAACCTCGTACCATCGCTCATGGTAAGACTCCACTCTGTAGTTGAGAAAAAACCCTTGCTAGTAGGTCTGTTGCTGGCGAAGCGCATAACACCCTCGCCCTTTGTGCCTCGTACTGAGAACCAAATATCGATACGGCCGTGAAGCTGGTTCATCTCGCCGTGAATCCAGGGGATTTGGTGCTTGAAGTAGATCTCATCACCGAGGAGATTGCGAGCATCTTGGTTGGTTCGTAGAGCGTAGAGTGTCGAGGAGACGACGGGTGAGGACATCTTTTGGTAGTTGAAGATAGCGACTGATGAAGCGGCCACGATGAGGAGGAAGATGGGGAAAGTACGGCGCCAGCGGAATGTCACATCAGCTACATCTACACAATTATCAATGTCAGTCTAATCCAATTGCGTATTAAGTCTCAATTGTCCGTACCTGGAAGCTCTCGGTCCGCCCTCCTCGACATCATGGGCCCATCTCCAGGCTTCGGCGCGGGAGTCATCCATCTTCTCTGCGCAGGTCTCAATGTGACAGTTCTTGACTTGAGAACAGCCGTCAAGCGTCGTCGGACGATCCGAGGTAGCGCTAGTTGTTGCGACATGGTGATTTTGCGCTTAATTTCTGGTGATCAACCGTATCGTGGTTGATCAGCTGAGGCTCAATTCAATTGCTTGACATCGGCGAAATTTTGCTGCCGGACGCCGACCCGATAGTTGCTCACTCAAGGTGGGGCAAGGGCCGGTGTGGCGTCATAAGGCTGAGCCTCACTTCAACCTCGTGGACAGTTTTACCATGTGACTGACGAAAGACAGGCTCCTACATCACAACCTGGCCTCAACTGTTTCTCATTCTTAATCTCTACATTTTCTCTTCAGATTAAGTCTTTAGTTGGATCTTAGCGACTTTATCATGCCTGCTTATCAGGGAACGACAGCCCGTTTGAGGCGCACATTTCACTATCCGGAGGAAGACTCTACAGACTCACAGCCTGAAGCTTTGGATGAACAAGGTATACCATAGCAGTCTTGGCAAAATACCTAAAATACACATCTAACACTAATCTTAGAACAACAAGACTACATCAATCAGCTTGCAGCGGAAAATGCCGCTCGAGATGTTCAGTTTCGCCGCTTCCTCCTCGCCATACCCCTCCTGGCAACCATCCCCTATCTTCCCGCCCTCATAAACCCCCCTACAGCACTTCTCGCTCTTCTAAGCCTAACCTCTCTCTTCTCTACGGCATATCTTCTTCATCACCAACCACCAGCATCATCAGGAATCCCATTCCTTGATAGCTGGGCAAAGCCCAAAACTCCACGACCCACTCGCCCACCATCATTATCAACAAGAGAGTCTTCAGGCGTGTTTGACGATGATGATGATGACGAGGTAGACGATGTGCCGTATGTACCTCGTGGGAGGCCACGACAACGCAGGAGTTCGTTCAGTTATGTCGAAAGAAGGTCGCCTCTCGAAACTTATCTGCCCTATCTAAATTTGGGTCTCGGCCTAGTTTTGATTTTGATGGCCTGGGCAATAGGCAGAACAAAAAGTGAAGCCGTGTGGCCCGGAATGGGATACTTGCCCTTGGTGGTCTATGGTATTATTCTGGTGTCAAAGATGGTCATGGGCAGTGTTGACCCCGAGAAGGAGTTGTCGTCGCTCAAGTATGACTACAAAGGTGCCTAATCATAATAATTAAGCATTTAGTTAAGTAGGTATAACAAGTGCAAATACACAGTGATAAATAGTTCTATCCGATCAACGCATGTCTTCAAATCCCCCTTTTTCTATCCGTCCCGGCCATTTCAGTCGTCATTTGGGCATTTCTCATTACAGCCATCTACATGTCTATCGAATCATTGAAACGCAAAATACCATGACTTTTCAGAACTCCATCGACACCCTTGGGTGGTCGAGGGAAAGGATCAGTCATAGGGCTCGCATCCGGTGAGTCCGATGACTTGTCTGTCACCAAAGCCAGCCCATGAGACTTGATAGCATCCACCAGTGCGGGTACCATATCCTATCGGCAGTCAGCAAACGGTTTATCAATAGCAGAGAGGAGTAATTCCAACATACCAGTAGTCGAGAATAGCATATTAATCCCATGAAGTTATTGCTTTGGGCAATTCTCACCACCTCCTTAATAGAGGTACTGCGCCTTCCGCTGGGTCCCGAGGTCTCCTCTCGTCCTAAGTCGTTACACAAGAAGACAGGGAAATTGGGCTGCTTCCAATTCAAGGCTGTACATAGTCGAGGGCTGAAGCTGCTGAATACAATCGACCGTACCACATCAGGAGCCTGTGCACGTTGTGTCCTTGCATGCTCGAACACAATGTTGAGAATCGAATCAACAAACACGTTGACATCCAAAGCAGGTCCAAGCGAAAAGGCCTTTTCTTCCTCGGGAGTTGGGTACAATACTTGGAGGTTAACATGCATTCCAGGGTTGAGTAAAGCAAGTGCTTCCTGAAGTGTCACGCCGGCCGTCGCAAGGATGTGATAGACCTCAGCCATGCTTTCGGCTGACTTGGTTTTCAAGTTGGGAAGTTCTGCACGGCTGTTGCTCCTGATAGTCATAGAAGTGAATTGTTCCAGAGTCAATCGGCAGACAGGAATATCAAGGCCACCGCAGGCTATTGTCCATCTAGGCCAGAGCACAGGGACACCGTCACTGGTATACTGGACAAAGAGCCTTACATAATCGCCAGAGAGGCTCGATCCAGTAACAATAGCACTCGTTGGTTGGTTGAATTGGCTTGTTGCTTTCCAGTAGGTTTCAAAGTCGGTAATCTCCAGAGGTTGCCCTTGGAATGGCTTGATGACCTGCACAGTGAAGCTGATCTGGCCAATGGCGCGAAGGCGGGGATCAAACAATGGCAAACAACATGCTGAAGAGCCTTGTAATCCCTTGAAGATGCTTGACAGGGCGACCGTCTTGGCAATAACCTTTGCGCCATATGTGGGGAACACGTCGATATCGAGGCTGAAAGTATCCAAGTTGTCAACCTGGAAGGATACGATACGAGTGTCTTCTTGGAAAGGTAGAATGATATTCTTCGGTATAAGATCCGAAACTTTTGAAGAAATCGTGAGGCGAGCGGCAGGGTATTTTCCGTCCTGGAAGAAGACAAGGGGCTGTTCCTCGAAATCCCCGAAGGAGATCTGAATAACTGTCTTTGTGTCGAGGAAGTTGTGTCCGTATCGGCGCAGAGGAATGATTGGAGGAGGAAGCTCGAGTTCGGGGATCGCATCGGGGTCAAGAGACATGGGCAGAGGCGCAGTACTTGAGTCCATAGGACCCAAGGCAGGCTGCACCATGAAGGGGCTGGCTCGTGGGCGTGTGTTGAACGGAGTTAGCAATTTCATACATGCAAGGTGTCCCTCCCAAGCAGCATAGTACATGGCTGGAAGGTCCTTCTCATCCACGATGCTTGCATCGACCCCAACCTTGAGTAGTGCTTGAAGACAGTCGACATTGCCTTCGCTTGCAGAATGTACCAGTGGTGTCCATCCATAAAGTTTATCAACTTGGTCGAGATCAGCGCCATATTGTTTGAGGAGTAGGAGCAGTTCTGAGGTTTGGCCAGCTCTCGCTACGAGATGCTGAGGGTAAAGGCCTTCAGCATCAGGCAAGATCTTGGCCCCATGCTTCAACAGCATCTCAACCACGGCCACCGAGCCATGTTCACAAGCGAGGTTCAAGGGGACATGATCCGAATCAGAGAACGGATCGATACGTGCAGATCTGGCAAGGAGAAGTTCGATGCAGTCGAGATGTCCGTGAATAATAGAGTGGATCAAGGGGGTGAAGTTGTCGTGGTCTATGAGGTCGATGGTTTTTTGATTTGCTACACAGTAGTCAGCCAACTAAATCAATACACGAACATTGTTCAGCAACTTACCGTCCAAGAGGACCTTGAGCATTTCCAATCTTCCGTGAAGGCTGGCATAATGCAGAGGAACCCGGCCGTAGACATCCGTTCTATCCACAACAACATTGACTGACAAGCCCCACTCCAGGACGTACTGCTTGCCATAGATGGCAGCTTGGTGCAGGCAGTTTCTCTCATTGATATCATCATAAGAGTGGAGATCAACGAGACCTGTATCGAGTAGGACTCGCAGGGACTCTTGTGGAGCTTCTGAGATGGCTGCCAAGAAGGTCCGCGTGACCCTTTCCATCAACGAGCTATCTCCATCTCCGGTGTCGTTGGCGGAGCGCATCCGTTGAAGAAGATCCTTCAGAGACTCGAGGTTTCCTGTAATAACAGTATCAAGGAGCAGTGTGTCTGCGTCCCCTTCATCAGTGCCGACGAAATGCTGCGAGGTCACCACGTGCCCCGACTGAAAGTTGACTTGGATTCCATCTGACCAAGCACCAAGCTCTTGTAGACTTGTGGTAGCCTGATCAGAAAGCTCGCTTATTACCGTAGCATTGAAGAATGGCTGGACTTCGACGGCTCTTGAAAGGTAGAGCTCCTTTGTCTTGGACTTTGACGTCTTGTCCCACTTTTTGAGAATCTTTGAGAAAGCGGTACCGTTGATCTCGACAAACTGTTGGAGTTTGTTTAGGTCGGTAGCAAACTGCTGGAAGCCTTCCTCGAGGGTAGTGAACTTGGCTGAGCGCCGAGAGATGCCATGACGAGACTGTATCACCTTCTTCTTGTCCAGTAGCGTCTTGAGGCGAATTTTCAGCTACGGTATGTTAGCTGCATGTGTCATTATTATGTTCTGGACGCGATACAAACCTCGGCTTCCTTCTGCAGGTAGAAGGCGTTGACCTTGTCGAGTTCCCGTTCCTGTTCCTCATTTAGCAACCATTTCGGGATGTTCATGACGAAGACGTAACACCAGAGTAAACTTACCAGTTGGAAGAAGAAGGTTGCCTTATTGGCCTGGAGAGCGGCCTGGGAATCCACGGGGGTGGCTGAGCGGAGAACATCGTTCTGTGAGGTTAGGGTAGGGGTCGCAGACAGCTTCTTGATGAGCTACATGGCAGCGTGTCAGTGGAAGAAGTCCCAAGAGTTGGTCGAAATGCAATCTGGTGGCGATGAAGAAACGTGGATGTGTAGGGGAGGACGAATGGAAAAACAAGGAATTGCTTTTGGCCAGCCACTGTCACACTGCGCAATACTTCATACCCCAAGGTGATGGGGTCTGCGAATGAAGCAGGGCATATCCTCGGAGAATGATAGCCCAGGACGGCAGTGGGAACAGCAAGGGCAAGGGCAGGGACACGAATAGGAACCTGAGAAGCCAGTTGGCAACCAGAGTTGAGAAATGCAGACCGAGCAACTGGAAGAGGAAGGATTGTAAGGGTCTTGGAAAAAGTGATAGTGGACCGAGCACTGCAGCGTGGGAGATGACAGCGGAGTCGGTAGATGGACGGACGCCGGGGCTCTCGGTGGCAGGAACGGAAAGGTTAACAGGGGCGGGAATGACATGGGCGTACCTTCTTCAAGGCCTTATAGTTGACAAAGCTGGCAGCATATTCGGGCACCTCAAGCTGTCGCTTCTGGATCTGCTTGCCAAACTTCCTATAGGAGAATGTGAGTAAGCTATGTGCTCATAGTACAGACCATGACGGCAGAGTTGTCGTTAGTCTGCGAAGAGCTTCCAGCTCAGAGTGGGTTCTTGAAGGGTCCCTGAACCACTGCGAGCTGGGCAATTCTTGACATAGAAACAAGGAGCAAGGAAGTACGGATATATCTTACATGTTGCGGCGTGGGCGCCCACGGGAACTCTTGGTAACTTAGAGAGCAGACGAGGAAGCGGATAGGTGAGAAGGAATGGTTGACTTGGCGATCGCTGCTTGGAGGGAGAAGTGAGCGAGGATGTGTGGCTGGAAATATGCGAGTTTCAGTGTCAGTTACAGCGTCCGTGTGGTATCTTGCGTGTGTTTTGTGTATATGTGCAACAGTGCAATGTTGAGGGGGAGGGTAGATAGGTAACGAAATAGAGACCAGCCAGCAGCGGAGACATGACCAGGTCAAGCAAGACAGAGACCAAAGCAAGGAACGGGGTCTTTGAGAAGCTCCATAAAGATGCACATGAAAGATGAGCCAGGCATTGAAGGTGCATGTCAAAGTCAGACCAAGATCAGCTCAGCCCAGGCAGAGTTGTTGAAGAGCCCCGGTGGAGTGTGAGTTGAGACCCTGTGGATGCGTCCCGTTTCTTCACAGCAACGCAAGCAACCACTTGTTTTCCAAGTAATTCCACTTCTCTTTTCCTCTCTTGCACAAGCTTGTCATGTATAGAGTGGCACACACACGATAAACGCCCGGTTTCTTCAGGGTCTTTGCTTGGGCCTTGACCCATCACCCGACAGCCCGGTTATCCTTAGACGACGTCCGAGATCGACTCCTGTAGGGCACGTGGGGGGGTACCTTGACCAAGTCTATGCCATCACTTTGGTTGGGCCAGCGGCGTGAGAAAGGGCGTGAAGTGCTGACGAAAATAACGCTCGCGAATAGCGTGTCCTCCAAGTGTGTGTATATAGAAACCAGATGCAGTTTATGGGTAAGGGTTCGATAGAATTATGAGAGTGAAGGGTAAGGCAGGGTTGAATCGGATTGGATTGGATACGATTGGAGATCCTCACTCACCAAAAGCCGAGGCACTTGCTCTCAAAGACTCAGTCGATAAAGCACAGACCGATAGTCAAATCAATAGTATTCCTTGAATGTTCCAGGCCTGTTAAAGGACCTTGTTCGTTATGTGTCGAGCCTTGAAGGGAGCAGAATCCACTGAGACGAGGCTGGCCTGGCTCAGGTTGTTGAGTCCCGTAAGTTGACTGAAGTTGACGTGACGTGGATCCGAGGCGTGTTCAAAAACGGCAAGTGATTTTAACAACAACAATTTCTTCTTTCCAACAGTGAGACCTTCAATTGTAATTGGTAAGAAAGGACTTCAGAATATAACCAACGTCGCGGTGATGGTGTTTTTTTTTATTATGTCAAAAGACAAACTTGATGGGAACCGAAAAACTGCCCCTCTATGGATGCTCTAAGGTGAAGGAAAG